GCTTCCCAAAAGAAAAGAGTAGGCATTTCAGGTCAATGAAATTAATTGATAGTAATTAAATAAGCCAAGGTCAGAACTTTTCTTAATTTTTTATAATGCACACTTACCTTATGATTGAAATATTTTTCAAACTTTAATCTTGCTAATTCTACACACTGGGACCAACTTCTAGGTCTTCTGCTAAGTAACTTAATAACTTGAAAACAGCCTTCTAAACTATGTCCAGTTTGTATCTTCTAGAATGAGAGAAACAAAACAAATACATTTCCAATTAAACACACACACACATTCCCAGAAGCATTAGCCAAAGTTTGAAGTGCCATCTCATGTGTCTTACGATTTTATTATTTTCACCTCAAGCTCCTTGTCCTTGCCTTTCTCCTTTCCCTTTTCTTTCTTCGAGGGGAAATGGGAAAAGATACCATGTGAAATTTTAACTCTAAAGGTTCTTGTCTTGCAAGTTATCCTCATATCTTGCTAGCTATATATAATTACATTATTGTTAAATATGTACTTACTATAAGAAGAACAAAAAGAACATTTTATACTAAAACATTGCATGTTTAGTACAGGATTAAAGGAAAGTAAGAAAACATCTTTGAAGTGCCCTCACCTTGAGAGTAATAAGTCTGAGATATTACTGTCCACTAGTGAAAGTTTCACTAGAACTCAGGTTAACAAGCTGTTTTATTATTTGTAGCTCTCCTATAATTATTATAACATCCTTCTTAGGTTGAACTATATGAACTGCTGTCTTGTAGATCAAACATGGTCAAATATTGGGAACCTCCAATAATTTCAGCCAAATAAAAAAAAGGGGTCATTTGTGACCTGCGGCTTTCAAGATTCCTCATGTACTTTCCATGAACAATAATGTTATAATGCCTTTCTACGGAGGTAAAATGAACCATTTGTAGGCAACTTGAAAATAAGATTACCCACATACCAAGTGTTAAGTCTGTATTAAAATGTATTGATTTTTACCTGCAAGACTTCTTCTGCAGATGGATAGGTTTGCCAAAATTTGTTAAACAATGAAGGTTTATGGGAAAAGGAACTTTCAAACTATAAGGGAAAAGAGGGGAAAAAATTACAAATAGAAGTCTATTTAAAAGTTGGAAATAGGTTATTTTCTACTACGAAAAAAATTCCTTAAAAAAGATCTTTTTTACCTTATCTCTTGCCCACTGTATAGTATGCTCGATAGCAGC